AACACTCTTCTTCAACACCACAATTGAAAGACATCAATTCTTCTGTTCATTTTTTAGTCAATGTCCATCTCTCAGATGCACAGCAAGTAACTGAAAAGAACATGGCCTGAATCAGGTGCATTTTAGTCCTCAAACTGGTATCACTGTCCCTAAATAATTTGGAGAAGTCCCTGACTACAGACTTTTCCCAGTGCAAAATGTCTCCTGATCTCCTCACTGGTTAAACCAAGTATATTTCTTGTGGATCCAAGTAAGATGAAGGTAATGCCATTCTCAATCTTTTCTCCATCTATCATAACAATGCCTACTGGCTCAATAGGGAGGATTTTTGTTTTCTTGACATTGAGATAAAATCCATATTGAAGGTTGCTGCAGTGTTTGATCTGCAGTAAGTACTTCAAGTTGCCCTCACTTTGAGCAAGCAAAATTGTCATCCATATTGGGAAGGTCATCGATGAGTCTTCTTTCAATCCTGATGACATTTTCCTTCAGAGTCCCAAAAATAATCTAAAATAATCATCCCAGCATACAGATTAAAGAGATCTAGAGAAAGGACACAACCCTGATACACACCTTTCTTAATTGCACTGGGAAACGAAAATATACATGTGGCTCACTTTACTGCATTATTTGCTTTATTGTAGTCCAGAAGTCAAACCATAGTATCTCCAGATATTATGCTTTATTTCAAGGTAACCTATCTGATAAAACTTGGTTAACAACATTTATTTACTTTTACAATGGGGAGAAAATACTTGAAATTCAAATCAATTAATATTTTCTGGTTTTAAGGAAGAAAAAGCTGATATTCTAAGAAAAAATACATTGTAACCTAGAAAGCAATCAATTCTAGCATGAAGGAAAACTGGAAATAATGGGAAGCAAGACTATCAGAAGAACGACAGACATGGGATCCACTGGCCTCCTTTGTATTCGTTACATGAACATACTGTTAAAATTAAGGGACTAGTCTATGAAGGAATTCTATAAAGGTCTTGTTTTCTAGAAGCTACATGTGTTACAAATAAGTTATGAGTCAAAGGCTTTGGTTATTGCTACTATCTCTGGAGATTATATATATATATTCAGGAAAAATTATAATGTCAGCTTTGCTTTGAGGATAGATATCTAACACATCATTTCAATATTTAAGATTAAAAATCAAATTCTGACATTCACACAACACAGACACTCAACTCTTCCTGTAATTATCACAATTTCAATCAATGACAATTCTAACATTCTCAGTGACCTTGCTATCATCCCAAGTACTCTTTTTCTCTAAAAGCCTGGTAGTTTAAGTAAGGCTTATTTTGTCACTTCTAGGTTAATAAAAAATCCAGAGTCTACCCACTTCTTGTCACCTCCACTAATATTTTTCTCATCCATATTATCATTATTTCATGCCTTTATCCATGTAGCTTTCTAAACATCTCCTGGTGTCTACTCTTATCTGATTATCGTCTATTCTTGATGGGGTTTTTTGTGACTTGACTTTTGATAAGACTTCAAACCTAAAATCACAAAAATAGTGAAAAGAAAGTATGTATCTACCCAGATGGTGTCAGGAAGCTTGGAAATTGGCTTTTTTAAAATCCGCTGCATTAGCGCCTACTAGGGGCATGGTCTCCAGCTACCTTAATTGAGGACACGTGGTCTTGCAAATCATCAATAGCTTTGGGACCAATATAAGAGAGCTCTTTCCACACTGTGAACAGTGGTGGATAGAAGGTGACAAGACTGTGGCACTGTTATGAAGTAACTGTGGTAAGATGTAATCTGAGGAAGCTTGAAGATGTAGACACAGTTAAAGGTTTTGCTTCCTGGATAACTGTATGAAAAGCTGACTTGTAACTCTGCTCTGAGATAAAGTTTGCTAGATGACGGAGGAATTTTTGTGCTGCTGAACTGAACCTACACTTTCACGTGTTGACTAAGAAGCTATCAGAAAGCAATAAATTGTGACTAAACTTGAGAAGAAGGGAGTTCCAGAACACCTAACTGAAACAGTCATCAGAACAGAGCACGAAAACACCGCATGGTTCAAAATCAGGAAAGGAGTGCGTCAGGGATGCATCCTGTCTCCATTCTTTCTCAATCTATACGTGGAACAGATCATTTGGGAGGCTAGACTTTATGAAGAGGAATGTGGCATCAGTACTGGAAGAAGACTCATCAACAACCTGTATCATGCTGATGACACAACCTTGCTAAAAGAAACTGAGGAGGGCCTAAAGCATTTGCTGCAGTGAGTTAAGGATAGTAGACTTCCATATAGATTGAAGCTCAACATCAAGAAGATAAAGATTCTCACCACTGGGCCATTTTGACATTTTTGAAAAGCATACGAAAGTTATTTTGTAAAATTTTCCATTTGACTACGTTTCCTCATAATTAGGTTCCAGTTATGCATCCTTTTTGGCAGGAATTTACAGTTTATTCTTTAAAAAAAAAAGTCTATTCTTAACATAGCTCCCAGATCATACTACGCCTCTGCTCAAAACCTTCACTCAAAGGAAAAGTCAAATTTGCTATGATAATCTACAGTTTTGTGTGGTGCTTCAGCTGCTATTCTTTTTGTCCAGAATATTTCCCCTCAGATATCTGAATGGCTTGCTTTCTTCCTTTATATTATTACTTAGAAGTTAGGGTTTGGGGTGTTTATCTATTTCTAAAATTAGGTAAGCCAATGATAAAAAGTCTAAGGATAGCAGAAAACAGAAAAAAATACAAGCTATAAAAGGTCTAGCCATACCAGGCATTAAACATACCATAAGGTTACCACGGTTGAACAGTGTGGTACTGAAATAATAATTGGCAAAGGGAATAGAAAAGAAAAACAGCTCAAAAACTGGCCTGAGAGCATATAACAATCTATTATATGATAAAGTGGTACTCCAAATAGCTGAAGAAAACACAAGATTCTTAATAAATTGTGCTTGAATAACAGGGTAAACATTTGAGAGGAAAAAGATAAATTTAGATGCACACCTCACACCCTATAAATAACACAATTTAAATGGATCAGAGTTCTAAATGTAAAAATAAAAACTTTTTTGATATTGATGTTCAAAATTCAGATTCAATATTAAGAAATGTGTGTGGGGAAAGACCCTACATAAAATGAAAATGGACAAATTTGAGAAAACATTTGATTACTCTCTCTCAAAACCTCACAAACCCATTTGCTTCAAGTTGATTTCTTTAGTCTTTACAGAAGCAGACTACCATGTCTTTCTCACACAAAATGACGGGTTTAAAATGCCAACCTTTTGGTTAGCAATGGAACCCTTTAACAACTGTGTGATCAACGCACCACCCAACATCCAGTTAATAGCCGTAATATTTTTTTCCAATGAGAAGTTTAAAAAATTTTCTTTTGTTTATAATTATTTAACCAGACAACATGGGTTTCCCTCCCCAATTTATTTTATGCTGGTTTGCAGATGGAACTTGTATGCATTTTGTATCATTCCTGTACACTGGGTTTCACATTCCTACACTGACACTATGTTTCAAACAATCACTCATATACATTGTGTTTTATAAAATTAATCACCATTTATCTATACCTACTGTTATCCCATCTTGTCAGGTCCCCACTGGATCTTTCCCAATTCCTTTGCCCCCCTCCCTGCTCACTACAATCTATTATCCTAGTGATTTCCTCCCTTCCCCACCATTTGCCCCACTTGCCCTTTTGGGCTTTTACACACACCTTTAGCTATCTTTCTGTTTTTACAATAATGGTCTTACACAGTATTTGTCCTGATGAGAGCGAGTTACTTAACTCAGCATAATGCTGAGTCTCCCATGTCATATGTATTTTACAAAATCCTTGATCTTATTATAGTGCTGCATAGTATTCTATTGTGTGAATGTACCATAATCTGACAATCCATTCTTTTGTTGATGGGCATCTGGACTGTTTCCATTTTCTTGCTCTATGGTGAATTACACTGCTATGAACATAAGTGTACAAATCTCCATTTGTGTCTCAGTTCTATTTTCCTTAGGATATATTCTTAGAAGTCCAATAGCTGGGTCATATGGAATTTTTTTGTTCAGATTTTGAGTAAACTCTTAAAAAGGTGAAAATCAGAGCACCAGAAACACAAAAGAGAAATTTTAAAAATAAATTAATGGACAATAAATAAATCAAAACCAAGCAAGTTTATAAAGCACTTAAATATATGAAAAGATGTTTACATTCACTCATATGTAGAGAAGCTAAAAACAACGACATATTATCTGATTGTCAAAGAAGGAATTTTGATAGCATGTAACAAAACTAGCTAATACACCTACTTTTTTGTCCGAATTCTTCCATTTTAGGTAAATGACATTGGACAAGTCACTTAATACCATCAAACCTTGGTCTGATCATCTACCTTTACAATGAGGATAGTATCTGACATTGTAAATACTGTGTTTCAACATGTCCATTATCCTTGGTGGCCAGGTGGGTAAGGAGTCAATTTTTTTTTTTTTTTGTCAACCCAAAGGCAGGCAGTTTGGGTTGACCAGCTGCTCCCACGGGATTTGCAATCTCTTAAAACCTGCTGGAGGACAAGCTATGTGTCCATTCTAACTTGAGTTTGAGTGATATCTTTTTACTGCTCCCTGGGGTTGAGAGACACAGGGTGGTATAAATTACTACAAAGGTACATGAAGAAACTTTTTTGTGTGATAGAAATATTCTGTATCTTTATAGTGTTTGTGGTGACATGGATGTACACATATATAAAAACACAAAATGGGAGCTTTTATTTATAAGTAAAATATCTCTATAAATTTATTAATAAGAAAAAATCTACATATCCTTTTATAATGTGAGGTTATTTTAACAATAATCCAGGTAACCTGAGACAATCTGGTCAAGGCTTATATAGTACTGATCTTACAAATTTCCATACACTGTATTTTAAAATATTGTGGCTTAGAAAAAAAGAATCTATCACAACTAACAAGAACTATGAAATAGCAAAGCTACTACCAACCTGGCCATTTGCTTATAAGCTTCTTCAGCTACTGCAAAGATATGTGGATCCATATCTCCCATATTCTGACCACTATAAGCATTAATAATATCTTCTCCATAAATAGGCAGCTGTTCATAGGGATTTATAGCTACTAGAACTATACCTAGAGGGAGGAGAGTAAATAAAATCAGCACACATTACTCTTACTATTACTATGTTGTGAAAAAAGTCAGTATATTAAAATTTCAGCACTATCTCCTATCTGGTCTGTCAACACAATGATAACCAACTATTAAACTTGGTAAAGTGAGAATTATAACTAACATAAAACTTCTATTTCAATAAATACTGAACTAACAAAACTGTAGATTTAAGCACCAAAAATAGAGTTTTTGCTTCTGAACTAATTATACCTAGTTGAATTAAAATATTATTTAAAATTTAAACTAGATTTTTTTAAAAAATGATGACATTTAAGGCAATGTTTTAAGAACTTTTGAAACCAGAATTCTTATGTCTAGAAATGTATCCAAATTAAATAATCAGATATTAGGGAAAGGGTTTTTTAAAAAATGGCTATCGGAATGATATTTTTCAAGGTAAAAATTTGAAATACACTGATCATATAATAGAAGGAGAGTTAATGAGTAAATTTTGTTACATTCATGTGACACACTATTGTGCTATTATCAAAAACTCACATTTACAAAGAAAGGAATGTCATATGAAAGGAGGCTGTAAAAGTACATAAGGACTGATTCTAATTTTTTATGTACATATACTGTCGCACACATATAAAAATAATGGTTTATTACTCAGTGATAAACTACATATAATTGTTTTTCCTTTTTAGTATATTTTTTAAAAATTTGAATATGTATATATTGATTTGATAAATTCATTCAACAAATATTGAATAAGGAATTGATTTAATTATTTATAAATCCTAACTCTAAATAACTGAGGGGAAAAGTTAACAGGGAACTTCTTGAATCAGTCTCAAAGATGAGATTTCTTTATCTCTTAGATTATGTAACAAAAGAAAATAAAGGGTAAATCTGGAATAAAAGATGAGCCTCTTTTTAAACTTTGGAGTAAGAATAGTTCATTAAAGAACTTAGAAAGCATAAAGTGTAACTCAGCTAATGGACAGAGATAAATCTCTTTGATTACTGATATTGCTAAGGGAAAATTCAATTCTGCCCTCTTTCTCCATGCACAGAATATTTCCATGGCTCTGTCCATTAGAGAAAAAGAGTTCTCAAGTGCTCTCAGACATGAAGGCACACTTACCACAATATGTATAAATAAGCTTGGAATCAATGAAGCGCACTCTGAGATTGTGGAGCACAGCAGGCTCGTGAAGATAGCTGAGGGCTGTGAGGTCATTTTCACCAACAAGTATGTCAGGGTTTCGTAAATGAGGCAGCTCCTTAGTCTTTGGATCTAGACGATATTCCAAATCCTAAAAATGTACATGAGATAGTATCTGGATAAACATCACAATGAAAACAAAACAGAGCCACTCGGTTTGCTTATATCCTATTCCTGATTTATTCCTCCAATATTAAATACATTCTTTACCTGGCAAATCCCAATATTACAGAAAAGTGCTAGGAAGGGCAAGCAAAAAGAAGTTTTCTTTTTCACATAATGTATTAACTTGTATTAATAATTTTTGCTAATAATGTTTGAGAAATCATAACTTACACTTCTTTCACCAAATTACTAGACCTGCAACTGGAAATCTTGGGCTCTGATGGCATAGACTACTGGTGTTGCACTACTAGCCAGACGACCACACTTCTCTGGGAGTTCGCATCCCCCAGCCACTCCTCAGGAGGAAGAAGGGTAGTTTCCTCTCACTGAGATTTATAGCTTAGGGAACTTATGACAGTTCAGTGTGTTTGATGGCAGTGACTTTGAGGTTTTGATAGTTAACAAGCTGTTTCATTTTACCTTCATCCATGATAAGCAAGAAGTATAATAAAGTGGTCAAGAGCTTGGCTTTAGGCACAGATGAATCTGGGTTTAAATCCTGACAGTTGAACTTAATGCTTATGTGATTCTGAGTGTGTTATTTAAACATAATACATCATCTATAAGTAGGACATAACAAAAATAGCTCCTAGGGTAGTGATGGAAATTAATTAAGTGAGACAAAGCTTACCATGTGATAAGTAATTGGAAACCCCCCAAGTTTTGAAAGATTAAAAAAAGAAAAACACCAGAAATTATGTATGACACTGAGTATATACATACTTTTCTTTGAAAGTTTCCATTAAATTTTAGTGAAGTATCTGTTACCTAAAACAATTTACGAAGTCTTATTCATTTTAAAGACATGTGAATACGATTTTATAGCAAAAGGCATCCATGGGGTCAACAATGTCGTTGCTGGTGCTTCTGAGTCGGTACCAACTCCATAGTTGACTCTCCACTGAGTTTTCAGAAGCTATAAATCACATTAGAGGAGACTACCCAACTTTTTCCTGTAGTGCAGCTAGTGGATTTGAACCATCTGCCTTTGTGTTGGTAGCATAATTCCCTACCCACTAAGCCATCAGCGCTTCCTTTGTATTAAGGGCAAATAATGTACTAAAGAGCTGAACAGAAGATTCCAAAAGGCTGCTCGGAATGACAAAGCAAAATACTACAATGAAATTTGCGAGGAGCTAGAGTCAGAAAATCAAAAGGGCCGGACTCGCTCAGCATTTCTTAAGCTCAAGGAACTGAAGAACAGATTCAAACCTAGAGTTGCTGTAATCAAGGATGCTTTGGGCAGAATATTAAATGATTC